ATAATAATTGGTTCATATTAGAACAATTACCTAGTTGACTGCTTTAGTGTAAATGTAGTCATGAACATGCCACGTTTTTTCATATTTCTTCAGATTTTCTCCACACCTTACCCCTATTTGACCCCAGTGTAGTCACAGAGATCTGTCTTGTTTTCTTACAAAGTTTCGGTAAATCCGGTTCAGTATTTGACAATATGTGTTTGGTGTTAAGATGTATATGTGAATCAGCAACTTGTTTTCAGAGAATGAGATTAAGGAACCTATTATCGCTGACGTGTGTTGATAGAAGAGCTTCTCTGGCTGCTCTCGGTTCTCAATGATGCTTCAGCTACTAAAGGTCATTACAAGTAGAACACAGCTTCTTGAAAATAAAGTCCGAAAATACACTGACAAATGGTATTTAGTGGTTGATATTAACCATTCCTTCAGAATACAAAAATTTATCTTTTGCTACATGGAAATCTGGAAGGAAGAAAAAAACTGGATAAGACACCCAGAATCTTGCTGGCTTGTTTTATTTGTTTAATTAGTCTGCTTTTTATTCTTACTTCCTTGATTGGAATTTGAACAGTCTAAAGGCTTCAGGTTGGCACTTCTTTCTCTATATTTTTAAATTAAAAATAAACGATAGTTTCATAGTTAATGCTTCTCACAAGAATAAGAAAGCTATGTGAATATTCCTGAAAAGTCTTTAAAGGGTAGACAGTCAACTAGCAGATGCTCTTATCAGTAAATTTGTTAATGTTCTTTAAAAAATATCTTTATTGTATCATGTTCATTATTCAAAAAACTCAAGCAGTACCTTTTTACTTTATAATGTTTATAAAAAGTTACTGTATTCCATTCAAGAAATATCCATTGATCCTACACTGTGCTGGGCACTAAAATAAACACACGTATAATGGGGCATTAAAATAGACAAGGTTTCTGATCTCACAAAACTTATGAACTAGTCTATAATGTCTTCTCATGCTTGAAAGTTTAGTATACAAAATTCTAAATATCAAACAAAATACCATCCCCCCAAAGTAACTGCTCATGATAGATTATTGTGAAACCTTCCAGAACACTTTTGTAGTATGTAAATGCATTTACATACGTACAAAAATAGAATCCTGTAAAACATTCATGAATATCTCTTTGAAGTTTTCCATCTTATTATACACACACACACAAAATTCTTTTAAGACTACATAGTATTTGACTCTATGAATGAACCATGGTTTAGTTGTTCCTTACATTTAACTGGATTCTGGTTTTTCCAGTCTATAAATGGTGCTACAAAAACATCTCTTAACTTGTATTAGAGTCATCAGTGTGTTTTTTAAACATTTAAAACAAAATTTCTTTTACTTTACAAAGAGTTATGAGAACTGCAATTTTGGCAGTTATTACAAAAATAATTCCTACACACTGAAACTTTTCAGACCAAAGTTACATAATGAAAAGTCATTACCTGTTTGCTGTTCATTGAAAGGAATCCCACAGGAATACTAAACAAAATGCAGATGAGCTTTCCTTCTTCTGGTGGCAACTTTTCTTTTGTGTTTTGTTTTGTTTTGTTTTGTTTTTCAGGTGGATAGTGTCAACACTCTACTACATTCTGGATTCATAGTCAAGAAAGTTGATTAGTTTAGATGATCAATTTTTGTTTAATAAAAGGCAAAAATGAAGCACAAGGAAATCAAATCCAAACTAAATTTGCCCATTTTATTTTCCTTTTCACTAACATACTCTGTTGCTAAGCAGAATCTATGGCCTCTTGTACTTCAGTTTTCTTCTTGGGAGAAGATGATAATGTTCGTTTAAGAATCTACACTAGCCAAATTGTAATATAAAGATTAACAATTTTTCTTAAAATATTGTCTTATTTTATGTATAATATTTCAAAATATTATACCTATTTACTGTCCAGAATGCATATGTCTTTTTAAAAATGTTCTAAATAATTTGGAATTTCAAGCTACTTAGGAATTTATTGGGAGAAAAAAACTTTTCATTCATTCTGCAATTATTTTGGCATAACAGTCCTAGATTTGACTCTTTTAGCCCTTTATATGAAAGCATTTTTTTCATTTTTATTTTATTTCTTTTCAAGTGTTCCAAAATTCATTGTTTATGCACCACACCCAGTGCTCCATGCAGTAGTGCCCTCCATAATACCCACCACCAGGCTCACCCAAACCCCCAACCTCCTCCCCTTGAAAACCCTTAGTTTGTTTTTCAGAGTCCACAGTCTCTCATGGTTTGTCTCCCCCTCTGATTTTTTGAGAGTGAGAGAACACGAACAGGGGGAGGTAGAGGGAGAAGTGGACTCTCCCGCTGAGCAGGGAGCCCAATGCAGAGCTCTATCATCCCAGGACCCTGGGATCATGACCTAAGCTGCAGGCAAACACTTACCCAACTTAGCCACCCAGGCATCCCTATATGAAAACATATTAAAAACAAAAGCTGTATTTTCTTATAAATAAGGGGTACCTGGGAGGGGAACTTCATGTTACTATAGATCACCAATACAATTTTAGAATTTGTAAAATTCTTTGCTTTGTGGAATTCACTTTATTTTTCTACATTCTCCAAAGCACTTTTGGGGAGCCAGAATTGATTTAGCAAAAAATGCTTTTCAACAGCTTGGCCTGCAGTCTGTTTGTGCTCTTGTCCTTTGAGTTGATTTGGTAATTTTGTAAAGACTAAGATGTGTTAATGGATTATTTAACTTGTTTGTTGTGGAAATAACAACTCTCTCATTTTTAATTTTATGGTAGAGTGAACATTTCTTCTTGATTATTTGTGATTTATTGAATACTAAATGCTAAATATTCTCATTTACAATTAAGCAGAAGTTAAAGTGTGGTAATTACTGAATATTAGATAGCTTTTCCATTTTAAATTGATGGCTGCAAAATGTGTTTCTTTCTCTTAGGTCACTGTTCCATCAAATACAATATCTGTGAATGGAAGGTCAAGACTCAGCCATTCCATGTCACCTGATGCCCAAGATGGCCATTAAATGTTGCCTGTGATAATGCACTTCATCACCTCTATTTCAAGAACACCTTCATCCTAATGGAGAATGTTGGCAAATGTATATTCAGATGTACACTAATATATTGTCTATTAAAGTGTAAGAATTTGTGCTGTGGCTTTTAATGCCACAAGAAGAATTACAGAATTTATAAGTTATGATATTTTTGGCCCTTTTTTTTAATGGCCTTAAAAGTTGAATATGCTGCTTTAGAACTTTAAGACAAGGTGTTAATGACTTTCATTTTCTTTCACATGAGAAATGGTCACCTTTTGTTGATTTCACTTACACATTCTCTACCGTGGTGACTTAGACAAAAGGATAAATTGAGATTCATAGACTTATATTTGTGTGACACATAAAGAGGTAGGCAAACATAGATCTGACCTTTGCTGCCTCAATGTTACAGTTTAATTGGAAATGTTTATAAGTTATATTAAAGTCTGTTTTGGCTGAAAGTATACTATAGAGAACTAATACCAAATAAGTATATTTGGTTCAACAGTTGATTAAAATGATGAATCATTTAGTGAGCAAGTCTTATGTGTTCTTCGTGTAATTACGAATCAATGTCAAATTTATGGGAAGCTTATATTATTTTGATATTAATATGGAACATTTGCTTTTTTAATCTTTAGGACTTAAGTTGCACAGGAATATTTTAAATATTTTTTATATAATCATGACATTGTTGTCACACAGATATTACACATTTATGTGCCAGAAGCCTTAGAAATCACCTCATGACTATGTTGATCTATTGTGACAATTATTTCACTTTTGATATGCAGCAAAGAATAGGTGGGGATTAGTCCATGTCCATATTGGAAAACTTCAAAGGCTACTTGGTGGTTCCATAAGTCCTGGTTTTAATTAAAGTAAAATGATAAAGTCTTTATGTAGTTCAGATGCTAATATTCTAAATAATAATATATATTTACATTAAAGCTAAAACTGTTAAGCAAAACAATGCCTAATTTGTTGGCTTATAACTGTACTGGGATCTAGGGCTCATTCATGTTCTAGTCCTACTTTAAGAATCTAATCACTCTTTTATTCTAAAAGCTTGGTCATACAAGTTGATATTACTTTGGTTTTCACTAAAGCTCTTGGGATATCTGCCTTTTCAGAAAATGTGTTGATTTCTACCCTTCCCCCCCGTTTAATAAAAGCAAGTTATATATTTGGTTTGTGTGTGTCCATCAGCATCTTTAGGAATTTCACCTGATGACCTATCTCTATCAGCAAGTAAACAAAAAAGTCACAGTAAGGCCTACCATCCATCAGGGGTCTCTAGGGTACAGGTAGGCCCATTCAGACTCCAGAGTGCATGATAGAACCTTTTAAAATGCTTAGTATAGTTCCTGATACATGGCAGGGGCACATTAAATGTTAAATGTTGTCATTTCTTTAAATCAGGCTTGAAGAGACTCTTATATATGGAAACTTAAGTTCTATTATTGTAAACTGTAGCAAAAGGAGTGACTTTTTGTAGAATTATGATTGATTATCCACTTGGGAAAAAAATAAATCTGGATCTCTACTTCAAACCATAAACAAATATATTTGAGTTGGATTAAAAACATTTTTCATTTTTTTGGAAAGATTTATTTATTTGAGCGAGAGAGTAAGGGGGGGCGGGGTGCAGTCAAGCAGACTCTGTACTGAGACAGAGCCTAATGGAGGGCTCAGTCTGAGCACCCTGAGATCATGACCTGAGCTGAAACCAAGAGTTGGACACTTAATCAGCTGTGCCACTCAAATGCCCCTAAAGACGGTTTTTTGTAAAAGTAACATTTAAAACTTAGATGAATAGAATATATTCAACATTTTTCAGACTTCAACATGGAAAAAAATAGGACACAAAGGGACATTCATAAAATAATAAATTTATATTAAAATTTGAGACTTATATGTATATTAAGTACTATAGAAGTGAAAAAAGCCATAAGAATCTTTTTAGTCTATAAAAAAATAAAAATCCCTGGAAGTCATGAAAGACTACCTAATAGAAATATGCACACTGAAAAAACAAAAAAGATTTCTTACAAGAGTAAATCTGAAAGGCCAATAAATAATGAAAGAATACTGTTCACTAATCAAGGAAATACTGGTTAAGACACAAGGAAGTACTACATCACACCCATCAAATTAGCAACAATTTAAGTTTCAAAATAGCAAGTGTTGTCAAGGACAACAAAGCAGTGGAATTCTTTCACTGTTGATGGGAAAACATTGGCACAATGATCAAATTTTCAATATCTAATAAAGATGTATTACCATGTTTCCTTAAGTACTTCTGCAGGTGCATAAGGAGAGATTAACAATGGGGTCCTGGTGGCTCAGTGGGTGGGGCAGGCAAATCCCTCTTCAACTTGTGAGTTTAAGCCCTGCACTGGGTGTAGAGATTAAAACATAAAAAAAAAAAAAAAAAAAAAGGTCATGACAGCGTTGTGTACAACAGCAAAAGGAAGTCCTAACCAGCACTCAACATTAGTACCTTCATATGATAGACTTCTGTACAACAGTCAAAATGATTAAACCAAGCTTACGCATGTCAACACAGATGCAGCACAAAAATGAGCAAAAACAAGTTGTGCAACAGTGCATGATTTATGACACCAGTTATATAAAATATGCAAAACAACACCGGATATTATGGCTGTATACACAGAAAAAGAAATACACAGGTTTGCTAGTGGGTACCAAGAAATGAAGACTGGATTGGGGAAGATGGACAGGTGTCATCAATTATGTTTGCAGTATTTTATTTTATAAACTACAGTTTGAAAACAAATACACCCGACCCTTAATCACAGGGATTCGGTGTGCCAATCGCCTGTGAAAGGTCCACGTAAAAACTTTTGACTCCCTCAAATCTGAATACCTACTGTTGACTGGAAGCCTTGCTGAAGATGCACACAGTTGATGAACACATATTCTATATGTTACATTATTATATACTGTGATTTTACAATAAAACCAAAGAAAAGAAAACATTAAGAAAATCATAAGGAGGAGAGTACATATACACTACTATACTGACAAAAATCCGCATACAAGTGGACCCAAGTAGTTCAAACCCATTTGTTCAAGGGTCAAGTGTACTTGTATTACTCCAGATTTTAACATACTTGAAGTAGTTTATAATTAAAATATTTTTCGAAGATTGTATAGTACTTAAGGGTATGATATGTACATGAGCCATTAATAAATATATATTCTGAAAAGATTGCCTTATCCCCACTCTTTCCGGAGAAAAACATCCACTATCCTCTCTACTCTATTGGGAAAGAAATTTGAGACAAGTAGTTTTCACCAGCCATATCCTTAAGTAATAGCAGAATTAAGATACAGAAATGACTTAGAACCAATTTTCCATTTTCATATTTAATATTTTGCATATAGACATTTTTCTTTTCCTTTCTCCCATCAGGTTATTTCTTTATAATACACATTCTTTAAGTTATCCAGATTCTATATAAATTATGGGGTATGAAATGAAATACTCTTTTTTTGTCTCCAGCATCCCACTTCCCTCTCCAGAGATAACCACTATGAGTGTTTTTGTTATTGTTTTTTTAAGATTTTATTTATTTATTAGTGCATGTGTGAGCATGCAGGTGGGGGAGAAGCAGAGGGGAAAAAGGAGACAGAGAGAACTTGTAGCAGACTCCACACTGAGAGCAGAGCCCAACTCGGAGCTTGATCCCACAACTCTGAGATCATGACCTGCACTGAAACCAAGAATCAGATGCTTAACTTACTGAGCCACCAATGCACCCCAAGCACTGTTAATGTTTTGATATAAATCTCTACATAAATATATCCAATGCAGTATATTTGTACCCAATACATACAGGTATATTTATTTTGCATTTTTGCACTTTTTTCCCCCCTGTCATTGTTATTACTGCTTTTAACATTAAAAATCTAATATCAAAATAAAATTATAAAAAGACAAAAAAAAAAAATCTAATATCATTTAGCAAGTTGCCTTTTACACCAGCAACATTTAGGAAGAACTTTTTGCATATAGAGAGTTCCCCTTCATATTTCAATTCATAGTTCTACTTGTTTCTTGCTGTAGTACACAGTTATACCTAAAGGCAGAATACCTGGGCTTGAATCACAGGTCTGCCACTTACAAGACATGAGATCTTGAGCAAATTACCTTTTCTCTGTGCCTCATTTTAACTTCTGAAAAACTGCATTAATAATACACCTCGGTTGGTTAAAGCAGCCAGCTCTTGATTTCAGTGCAGGTCATGATCTCAGGGTCCTGGGATTGAGCCCTGTGTCTGGCTCCACACTCAGCCAGGAGTCTGCTTGAAGATCTCTCTCTCCCTCCCTCTCCTTCTGCCCCTCCCCCTGCTTGCACACATACATGGGCACTCTCTCTCTCTAAAATAAGTAAATATTCAAAATATAATACACTTTCCTCATAAAATTGGTTGTAAGGATTAAATGAATTTTAAGAGTTTGGCATACAATTCATTATTTAAAGCTATATATATATTTCTTAAATATTTATTTTAGAGAACATGTGAGTGGGGGGAGGGGCAGAGAGGGAGAGAAGCAGACTCCCCGCTGAGCGCAGCACTGACTTGGGGTTCCAGGTGGGGCTCAATCTCCCAATCCATGAGATCATGACGAGAGTGGAAACCAAAAGTCAGACACTCAGCCTGACTGAGCCACCCAGGTGCCCCTATAGCTATCTATTCTTTTTTTTTTTAAGATTTACTTATTTGACAGAGAGAGAGAGATCACAAGTAGGCAGAGAGGCAGGCAGAGAGAGAGGGGGAAGCAGACTCCCCGCTGAGCAGAGGGCCCGATGCGGGGCTCGATCCCAGGACCCTGAGATCATGACCTGAGCTGAAGGCAGAGGCTTAATCCACTGAGCAGGCGCCCTAAGCTATCTATTTTTACTACTGCTATTAGTGAACAGGTATTACTTACCTAATATATTCCCCATCCTTCTGAAGAGTGCTACCCTCCCTCCCACTTTAAGGTCTGATCTGGGCTTGTCCGCCAGGCATTGGCAATAGAATCCATACTCTGCTGCCTGATCCAAGTCCTTTAATGAGACCAGTCTTTTACCGGAGACCTGAAGCTGCTTGCACTTGAAACCAAAAGAGTCCCAAATTATACAATTATTTGTCTAGTGCCAGCTCATTTTGTACCCACTACAAGTAGACACAACAATGTAAAAAGCTGAGAATCAAATTAATCATTTTTACTATCTATTGATTCTGATAAATGAAAGAAAAGAGAACTTGCAATTAGAGGTCACAGTGAAGATTTCCATGGGCAGAATGCTTTTTTCTCAGATTATTTCTGATGTAAAAATAGCTCATTTATTTGGTGTGTTAGAGTTTACGCATAATTTTCATATTACTTGAGCTACTTATGGAACAAAAAAGTAGACAGGGATTGCTACTTACAGAGGTCATACAAGCAAACAAGTGGCAGATCCCCACATCTAATTTTCAGTATGCTCTTTCCAGTTGCTGAACTTTGCCAATGATGAAGAAAAGGGTGCTAGATTTCAAGGGACACAACACTGTGATCTACTTATTCTGGATCTTAGTTGGTCTTCCTTTTCAGTGTTACCACTTTCTTGCAAGCTTTCATTTTTAACACCTCAGACTTTTCATATGGATGGATAGATTTTGTTTATGGAAAGAAAAATGCCACCATGTGCTCCCTCAGAAGAACTTTCCTGACAGGTATTTCGAGAGGAATTGTGAAACATTCTGGTAATTTGTGTAGAGCTGTTGGCATTTCTGCTTCACAAACTGGAGAGATTCATTTGGAAGTCTTGCAAATTACTCATCTTGGAGAAAGAGAAGTGCTACATTCCAAACTTATAGTTTTCAAAACAAGTGACTTCTTTACTTGCTAACTGATTTTTATGTCCCTACCCACCCTTGTTCCTTGGGGCAGATCATTGTGGTGGCCCCAGTTCTTTACTCACCTGCATCCGCACCTTTTGCTGTTTGCACTTTCCCTCAGAAAAGAGACAAAGCCCTTTCCCCACCTGTATAAGTAGGTTTTGTGAATAATAAAATAAGGTAGAAATTGTACCAGTTGGGACAGTAGGCCTCAAAACTTTGCATGTGTTTGCATGCTTTCCCTGTGTCTGGAATGCTGCTGTGAGAAAGACATCTGAATGAGCTGGATGGTCCTCAGAAGAGAATGAGAGATGTAAGGAGCAGAGCTCCCAGCTGCGGCCAGCCTAGAGCTCTCAACAGTCAGAACTCCAGACCTGAGCAACTACAGGTAACATCAGAAGGGCCACATGGCCACGCCCTCACTGACGCTGATGCGTGAGCCATAAATGCTAACTGCTAGCTATCTCTGAGGTTTCATGATTGGCAGGTTTGCAGAATTAATGTGGCAATAGATGCAATACATGTTCTTAAACCAGCTCATACATGTATGACTTTAACCCTAATCATAAATCCAATCTGTTCAGATCCACATACCCTATTTTCCCTAGAGTCCCAAGGACTATTTTACTTACTAGGTCCAACACAAAAATACCTCAGACACTCTAACTCCCAGCTAGCTCAGAACAATTCTAGCTTAATCATCCCCTTATTATTTGTGGTGCAGAAATATTTTCTCCCTTTCTCTATCTTCCTCTCTCACTTTATCTTTAGACTTGTGAGTCTAAGAGCCTAAATATCAAAGAGATCCACAGCCCCCTCAAACGCTCTTTGAACTCATCTGTGTAATAAAGTTGTCAGATAAAATACAGATTTTCCAATGAAACTTGAATTTCAGATAAACAATGTATTACTTTTCAGTATAAGTACGTCCCAGGCAATATTTGGATTAGACTTACACTAAAAAATTTAAAATTAAATTCAAAAATTTTTAAAGATTTATTTGTCTGTTTTAAGAGGAAAGGGCAGAGAAAGAGAGAGAGAATCTCAGACTCCCTGTTGAACACAGAGCTTGGTGTGGGGCTTAATCCTAGGACCCTGATATCATTACCTGAGCCAAAATCAATGGTTGGATGCTTTAACCAACTGAGCCACCCAGGCACCCCAGAAATTCAAATTTAACTGGATGTCCTATATGTTTCTGTACTAAATCTGGCAACCTCACTGTTTCATGAAAATTTGGAAGGAGTAAATGGAAGCAAGAAGGAGTATGTACTTGTGGGGAAAAGATAAAGAGCAGGCCAAGGCCCAGCTAAGTCAAGAAACCAGGAAGTGGTATTATGAAAAAGAGTAGCCCAAACTTTGTTCTCTTTGATAGTTCACCATCTGAAAAACCCTCCTGTGATGAATGGGGAAAGGTTCACTGAAGAGTTCACAGTGAAGAAACCCTTTGGGTAACTTTTGCTGGTGGGTTTTAGATACCTTCAAATCATCTGTAAATAATATACATAAGAAATTCTTCTATATCAGATAAAGGGCTAGTATACCAAATCTACAAAGAACTTATCAAATTCAACACCCAAAGAACAAATAATCCAATCAAGAAATGGGCAGAGGACATGAATAGACATTTATGCAAAGAAGACATACAGATGGCCAACAGACACATGAAAAAGTGCTCCACATCACTTGGCATCAGTGAAATACAAATCAAAACCACGGTGAGATACCACCTCACACCAGTCAGAATGGCTAAAAAAACGACAGATGCTGGCGAGGATGTGGAGAAAGGGGAACCCTCCTACGTTGTTGGTGGGAATGCAAGCTGGTGCAGCCACTCTGGAAACAACATGGAGGTTCCTCAAAAAGTTGAAAATAGAGCTACCCTATGACCCAGCAATTGCACTACTGGGTATTTACCCTAAGATACAAATGTAGTGATCCAAAGGGCCACATGCACTCGAATGTTTATAGAAGCAATGTCCACAATAGCCAAACTATGGAAAGAACCTAGATGTCCATCAACAGATGAATGGGTAAAGAAGATGTGGTATATATATACACACACACACACACACACACACACACACACACACACTGGAATACTATGTAGTCATCAAAAGAAACAATATCTTTTCCTTTTGCAATGACGTGGATGGAACTGGAAGGTATTATGCTGAGCGAAATAAGTCAATCAGAGAAAGACAATTATCCTATGATCTCCCTGATAAGAAGAATTTGAGAGGCAACGTGGGGGATTTGGGGAGTAGGGAAGGAAAAAATGAAACAGGATGGAATTGGGAGGGAGACAAACAATGAGAGACTCTTAATCTCACAAAACAAACTGAGGGTTGCTGTTGGGGGGAGGAGTAGGGAAAGGGTGATTGGGTTATGGACACTGGGGAGGGTATGTGCTATGGCAAGTGCTGTGAAGTGTGTAAACCTGGCGATTCACAGGCCTGTACCCCTGGGGCTAATAATACATTATATGTTAATAAAAAAAATTAAAAAAAAATTCTTCTAATGTCCTCATTAACCTCAGCATTATTATTATGATAATTATTAGGACAATTGTTAAATCTAGGTGGGAAGTATATAGATTATAATTATAGATGATTTTGACTTCTCCTGTATTTTTGAAATTATTAATAATAAAGTTGGGAAATGCATTATTGAGATACTCCTATTATAGCAACCAGCTGCACTATATAATGTGGGGAGGGAGAGATTTAATTTTTGGTCATTGGTTTCCCTTTCACTAATTAAGAATTTTAGCCAAGTCAGGGGAGATGATGTAATGCAATCATTCATTTGACAAGAACAACTTGCTGTTAGCAAAGTTTCTTAAAAGGTTTGACAGTTAAGTGTTAACTAAAAAAGCATACGCTCCAAGATCTGGTTGAAGATAGCATTATTTGTAAGAGGGAGGAGAGAAGTAAGGAAAATAAAATGTGTTAAGTATCATCTATGCACCACTAATCCGCTGGGTGATCTTTGAGGTATGTTTTATCATCCCATTTTACTCACGAGCTTAGAGCAGCTAAGGCATACCCTCACCTAGGGTGGTGCTAAGGTTAAAGACAGATATCTGACTCCAAGGCCCTAATTTTTTTCCACTATGCTCTGCCTGTTTCTAGTCACAAATTTGTGCTTGAACAAACAATCATCACCAAATTTTTGTGTTGCTGTTATTGTTTTTCCTTTCCAACAAGCTATTTCTTATAGAGTATATCCCTAGCCCTTGTAACCTGATCTCTAATGCCTGAAACTGGGAAAATTCAAAATGAAGTGACCAGTGTTTCTACCATTTTGATACATGAAGGATGGCTGTAAATTTCTACTTGATGTTGTGACATGTCTTCACTAAATATGAATTGAGTACCTCATAGAACTGTGAAGGATACTTTAGAAGAGAGTGGTCCTTGTCCTCAAGGAGTTTAGAATCTCAGAGAAGTGGCCCAGAGGTAGAAATATGGAGTAATACAATTCAAGTGCAGGAGATGTCCCAAAAGAACATCTGGTAGACAGAAAAGGCAGTGAAGACTTTATGATGTAAAGAGGGATGGTGATCTAGACTTCCAAAGATGGACAGGAGTTGGTAATGTAAATACAGGAACAAAAGTGTCCAAGCTGAAAATGTGAGCAGAGACCCTGAAAATGATTATGTATATGGTGAGTCTTACTAATGGAACTTCTATTATTCTAGAGTGGCAAGTTTGTTCATTTATTCAATGAGCATTTGTTGAATGCTCATTTTCTTTCTATCAGGCACTGAGCAGAGTGATAAGGAAACAAAGATAACTAAGACAAAATTACAGTGCTCTAAGAATTATAAACCAGCTAGAGTTCATGAAACATGGTCATAAAAGAAAAGGGTGCTAGAAAATTATGTTGCCTATTTTTCTACTGGGTCATATGTCCTTTTGGAGGGGGATTCTTTATATATTCTTGACACTAGCCATTTTTCATGCTATGCATTGCAAATATCTTTTTCACGTTTGTAGCTTATTGTTTCCTATTTTTCTTCTTCTTCTTCTTCTTAGAGGAAACAGAAGGGTGGAGAGGGGCAGAAGGAGAGGGAGAAAGGGAATCTTAAGCAGGCTCCACACCCAGCATGGAGCCTCACTCGGGGCTCAATCTCCTGACCCTGAGATCATGTCTTGAGACAAAATCAATTGTCAGCCCCTTAACCGACTGAGCCACCGAGGTAGCCCGTTTCCTATTCTTTAAG